CGAGGAGCCAACCCACTCCCGAGCGCTGTCGACCAGCTCCTCCGGGACGCGCCCCCACCCTCTCCACGGTCCCTTGGAGTCGACAGGGGTCAGCTGCCCCACCCCGTCTGGCCCGGGTGCCGCCCCCTTGGGGCTCCTCCCAGCTAAGCGGGAAGACTGATCCCGCCCAGGTCAGAGAGTGGAAGGAGGTGTCTCCATCAGCAGTCGGGTCCTGCCCACACCCCCGCCCCCACCGACTAGTCCAAGAGGAAGACAAATTAGCCGCAGCAGCAGAAGACAAAAGCTAATGGTGACAGTGCACCCTCTAAACAGGAAATCCGAGCTTGAGGAACAGTACTTAGGGCCACCGAGAGTCCCTGCGGTCTAAATAAAAGTCAGAGCTATCTGTCACCCCAGCTAAAGAGCAAACTTCTCTTGAAACAAAGGAGCAGTAAGAACTCGACCAGCGTGGTTCATCTCTGAGTAGTTTTAACAGTACCCACTCCACATGTGAGCTCCAGAAAAATCTCAGACTCTCAGAATCTGTACTGCAGAGGGCCTGGTTCTAAGTGGAGTTCAGACTCATAGTTCTAAGGGGAACCATTCGGTAAGGTGCTTCAAAACAAATCTCGTGAAGAGCTCGGGCCCTGTTCCCTCTTAGTCTGGATGGGACTTCTGTTGTGGAGCATTGCCTGGGCTCATGCAGGGAGCTTGGCGCTCAGAAAACATTATTGAATAGGCGCAAAAAAGGGGGGAGGGTTAGTTTTGTTTGTTTGTTTATTAAATGAGTCAATTGTACCCAAAACTAGTAATTAAAAGGTACAAAAGAAGGCAGGTGGATATTGTTTAGGGGGCTACGCAGGCAAGCAGGGTGCCTTTCCCAAAGATAAATCAAGGTTGCTTCTTTTCAAACATTGCAGTGGGGTGGGTGTCTGTCACTGGTTTCTGACTTTGGATAGATCACATAGAGTCCCCAGTTTCCTCTTTGAAATGACGCCAGGCTTTTCTCTCTAGAGTGGCATCTGGTTTGACCTTTAATGACTTCATGACTAGCAGAGGCTCTGAAACTAATAATGGATCCATAATACACACAAAAAGAGCTTTCTGGTCAGGATATCATAAAAACTGATGATATTAAGATGAAATCCTTCTTGTCAGACCCAGACGAAGTTAGAGCCAGACAGTATTATTCGGGGACGTGGTGTCCAAGCCTGTCTGAGGTAAGCAGTTTCTTGGCTCATAAGATTTGTTTGTTCTAAAAGATCGTCATAGTTTGCACGCCTCTCCCACTGGAGAAAAAAAAAATTATCCTTAGCATTAAGATTATTGCAGACCATACAAATGCTTCTTCAGAACATTTTCTTAGCAATCCGACGTACTATACAACTGAACTCAACCCCTTCCTCCCACCTCCTGAACCTAAAATCTTGATAACCAAGAAGCTTATGTAAATTCACCTCTTTTTGATTTTAGAATCATATCCTTGCCTCAATCTGTCTTGGATTTATCTACAGTTTACTCTGATGTGCCTACTCTCTCTTCAATGCTTTGCTCCTCCCAAATAAACATCATCGTGGAGAACCACTAATTGTCCTTTATGATGACAATGACTTGGCGAAAAAAATTATGGAGTAGCTGCAAAACAAATCAATCCAACACTGTTAAAAGTCAGGGATTCCTTTCATCGCCCGTTGGTACTGGACTAGAACATACTGCAAAAGTGAACATTTAGCTGGTCCAGAGTGGATGACGCTGAAAGTCTAGGGATAACATACCCAGGGGCTCCACCAGTTGGCCTCGTTGTGGGCAGAACAAAGTCAGCTGCATTGTTGTCGCTTGTCGCTTTTCTGCAACTGAGAGATCGTTTCCCTTCTTCTCAGATGCCTTGGTTGCATGGAGGTTTTTCCCTAGGATTAAGGCCCCACGGGAATCTCCCCCTTGTGTGCTCACATGTCTGTTGGTGTCATCCATGTTCTGGTTTTATTTAGGCAGTCATGTTCATGAGACTTCATGGATGTAGCCTCCCTGACATTTCTGAAAAGGGAATCTCACAACATGCTCCTTTTCTTCTGGCTCTTACAAACTTTTCCCTTCCTCTTCCGCTATATGTACCAACAATTAAAACACACACACACACACACACACACACACAAGGTAGTCTACAGTTTGAGAAAGAACAAGGAGGTGGTGGTGCGTGGGAAGGGCTGGAGGGAGGAAAGGGAAGGGTAAAAATGATGGAATCATATTTTAATTTCAAGGTTTTTTTTTTTAAAAAAAGAAAAAGACTGTTTCAACCCTCACTCTTGAATTGCTTCTAACCTTGAAAAATAGAACCTGAAATAAGAGATATTCTGAGATTTTCAAAGTTAAGCCACAAGGAAGTTTGCATTCCCAGCGTATTATTTTGGGTTATTCCTCTGATAGTTTGGGGCTAACATGTAAACTCAACTCCCTTGATACTGCCTGGCTGGAAAGGCCACTGGAACAGTACTCTGGCTAGGGCTGCCAGCTAATCCCTGCCTCTCAGTATCTCTTATTAAATAAGAATTGCTTCTTGTTGAATCCATTCACCAGACAGATCTCATTCAGTAGGATTCATTGATCCTACTCGGAACAAAATAAGCACACAATAGAGCACTCACTGATTGAATTTCTGAGTCATGAAATTTAATAAAATGACTATTGCTTTTAGGTCACTAAATTCTGAAATGCTCTGTTATACAGTGGGAAATATGTATACAAGCCTATATATTTACATACATAAACATAAGTAACTGCTCCAGTTAAGTTCTTTTATTTTCCTATACTTTTTTGGCATTTTTATCAGCTTTATAAGGTTATATATCACTTTCCAAGTTGTGAAATGTGTTTATTAATGAGTGTTGTTTTATACGAAATATCATAAAGACATAATGTAAACTTAAAGTAAATAAAACACTTAAAGTAAGTTTAAAACAAAAATTTGCCTACATTGTATCCAAAATATGTTCTTAATAGTTAATTCTGAATGTCTCTTAGGTCCTGTAGAAAAAGGATTAACTTGATGAATAACTAATTAAATTTTTTTTCCTACCTCTGAGAGTATATGACATTTTTGAATTAACTGTTAAGCATATTTTCAAAACTTCACCATTTTCCTGGCTATGGTAGTCTAGTCCTATCTTAGGCACAGTTACTATTGTTGTGATGAAATACCATGACCAAAAGCAACCTTGGGAGGAAGGGTTTATTTGGTTTATATTTCTGCATCATATCACAGTTCATCATCAAAAGAAGTCAGGACAGGAACTCCTACAGGGCAGGAACCCGGTGGCCACAGCTAATACGCATGGAGAAGAGCTACTTACAAACTTGTGTCTGATGGCTTGCTCAATCTGCTTCCTTATATAACCCAGGACCACCAGCCCAGGGATGGCACCACCCAGAATGGTCTGGGCCCTCACCCATCAATTGCTAACTAAGAAAATGTTCTAGTCTTGCCTGCACCCCTAGCTTAGGTAGGCATTTTCTTAATTAGACTCCTCCTTCTCAGATAACCTTGCCTTGTGTCTAGTTGACATAAAACTAGCTAGCACAACCCCTACAGTGGCTTGGGAGACTTAGGTGGAGGGCTTAATTTAGGCCTGGAGTTCAAAACCAACCAAAGCAACATAGGGAGAAATTGTCTCAAAACAAAACAAATTTCAGCACTTAACCCTGTACCGGAAATCATCTTAATTTATTAGCGGATGCTGCTTCTAGTCATTATTCATCTAACACATCCTTGAAGAATATCAGGTTTAGCTCTAATGTAAATTGTATGTGGAATGGGAACTGTCAGAATGGACAGCAATGAGGCATGGCTTCTGCCTCCCTGTATCCAGATTCTCGCTGGAGTCACCCAGGCACTACTGCCGTTCTCTGGTGTAATTTCTGCTTTTGTCTGGGAAGCACTGAAAGGTCTTCGAGAGGAATGGACACACCAGAAACGAAGCCTTTGGGTGGATTCCCAAAAGCAGCTGGCATAACTCGCATTTGATTTTACAGTGAGCTGTGTTTTAAGAATATGTTGGTGCATATGTCCTTTGAGGATCTTCCAAATAAGCACAGAGGTCAGATGAAGGCCCACTTTGCCTAACCTCAGGAGTTAACCCTTCCACAGCTCCCAGGAAATCCTAGAGCGGCGAAGAAAAAGGCATCTCAAAGAAACAGCTGTGTGCTATGCTAGTCCTTTAACGCACCACAGTAAACATCTCCGCTAACCCTTGCAGAGCCCCTGTGCCCCTGAGAAGGAGGTGCTCTTTGTCCTACTGGCTTGGAGGCCTTGCCCAAGGACCCAGGAGACACCTTCACAAGGCCTATGACCTACACAACCACTTCTGGCGTCTTTGACTAGACCAGGGCTTACTAGAAATTTCCTGAAATCATCTCCTTCTTTCGAAAAAGGAAACTGTAAATGTTTTAGTTTATAAGGACAAATTAAGGCATGCTTTTACATTAGCTACCACCTCCCAGTTCTGTCTCTCCTTCATGTGCAGCATCACCAGCCCCCACCACGGTGCCGCCCACAAAATCTGCTTTCTCGCTGGATACCACGCTTGGAAAGGCTATTTTTATCCTGCCTGTTATTTCTTATC